GTGCGGACTTCACCTCCCAGAATCCCCCAGCCAGCATGCGGGCTGGGGAATTCTGGGAGTTGAAGTCCACACATCTTAAAGTTGTCGAAGTTGAAAAACACCACAATGTAGTGTAAACAAAACAGGGAAAAAAGGGGAAAAAAACTCAGAAACTTACTGCTTTCTGTTCTGATGCTCACTTGGGGACCTTCAGAGAGACTCTTAGCAGATCCTGATTTTTTTTCAATTGCCCCCTCTTTAAAACGTCAGAAAATCCTGCACAATGGCCCTCTGTTTTAGACATCCCCCCCCAATTGACGAAAGAGACAGGAGGAAAAGTCACCAGGGGTGGGTGGGAAACTGTTATTGGTCTAAACCGACGGATTTCTTTCATGTGGGAATGTCGGGCCTCTGTAAATAAAGAACCAGATGTTGCCCGCACCCCTCGCCTCTTCGGCCTCAAAAGCGCACACTTGTTCAGCAGAATCATTTGCAGATGCTCCGCCGGTCTTTTAAAGAGAAAAACGATTAAGTCTTTTTGAGAAGGGGAGAAAAGGGGACAAAGAGAGAGAGAGAGAGAGACCAACGGGGGGAAAAAAGAGGAATTCAGGAGAGAAAAAAGAGGAGAAGGAGAGAAATGGGGAATTTACAGGCACCGTAGAATTAGGCGAAAATGGCCAGTATTTCAATAATGTTAAATAACTCTGCTAGGTTGTTTTAGAAGCAATTTGTTGTTAAAAATTTGACGACGATCTGCAGTATAAACCACCAAGTGAGAGGATGATCCAAGTATGTTTGTATTCCCTGACTTTTTAGGTTTGATATCATGGTTTCCCAGCCTTCTGGCTGGGACAAAAGTATTTGAAACCAGACGGACACAGCAGATTGAGACGTTGGAATCTTCTGCCTCAGAGTCGTCATCCAAAGCTGGTTTTCAAGCTGCATTAAATTCTGTGTCAGATTGATTTGGGAAGAATCAAGATACTTTAGTCACTGGGATCCACTTCCAGAGTTTAATTAGGCATTGCAGAATGAACGGATTGTCCTTTCCAATAAGAAGGATAGAGTCTTCTTGTAGTGGTTGACCATCTTCAGAGTTCACTTGGAAACATCTGGTCTTAGCAGGAGGGGGAGGTGTTGATTGACACCTATTCCGGGGGGAGGCTCCAAAGACCATTGATTGGCAGCCCCCCCCTCCATTTCTATTCTGGATGCTCCACTGGGAGTAATAAAATGCATGGAACTCTTTGTTGAGGTTGGAGCGTTGACCTACATGCTAGAGAAGCTTACTGTGATGGGTCTACTCAAGGTTTACTCAGAGGAAGGAAGAGCCCCAGCTGAGCCTTTGGGAACTCTGGAGCTGGGACTATTCATCCCACCTCTCTCAGGTCATCTAACATTTAGCTACCGGCCTCGTTGATCTGGCTCTGATCTGAAATTTCGTTTCTCAGACAGCTTAGATGTCACCTCGTTCCAAGGTTTTCCTAAGCTTATAGTTGTGACAAGGAGCAGCAAAGTTTGGCTTGTGGTGCCATAGGAGTGCATGTCCTGAAAGTCTGCTTATTTGTTGTGGTCCCAGAGGGCCCGGCCAGAATCAATGGGTTCAAACTCCAAGGATGGTTAGATACCAGGAGGAACTTCCTGACGGTCTGAGTTTGGGCTGGTGGAACAGGCTGCCACATGAAATAATGAGTTCTCCTTTGCTGGAGGCCTTTAAACAGAGGTAGGATGGTGATCAGTCAGAGATGCTGTAATGGATCCTACACTGACCAGGGGTTGGACTTGATCACCTCTAAAGCCCCTTCCAACTTGAGGATTCTGTGATAAGTCCCCACTCAAGGATCATCAACCAAGTGGTC